CCCCGGGTCCATAAGAAAAGTTTTTAGGGTGAGGAAGCTGTTCTATATTTTGACCGTGGTGGTGGTTACACAACTATTACCCGAATTCATCAAGCTATATACCCTTTAAAAGGGTTAAGTTTTATTACATGTAAATAGTACCTCAATAAAAAACTCAGTCTTATACACAGATGTTAATATGACTGTCACCTAAACTATACTAAATAAATTGTACAAAAAAATCTATAAAGTAATAATAGGATTGGTGTGAGGATTAAATGAGATAATGCATTAAGCCCTTTGCCTGGCACTGTAAGTACTTAAAAGTATTAGCCATTAGTCTTTCAACATATACTTTCTCCCTTTTACTCCAATATGCTAATGACTGCTAAATTAAAAGATGTTTTTACCAATAATCATGGGTCATCATGCATCTAATAAGGTTAGATTAACGTTAAAGGCAGATCACCGATATTTACTTCATTATGGTTTAATCTCAATAGTAAGAGAGAAGTATACGTATGTGAAAAATCCAAAATGACTGGTTTGTTTCTCTTCTCAAATCTGGAGGAAGAATATAAGAGAGCATATTTTTATCTTCATAATTCCCAACCATGTTAGCCATATACGAAGAGCACGAAAAACCACTTCACTGAAGTAGCCTTTTATCAGAAATCACCAGACCTTTATAGGGGTAGATGGGGAAGGGGTGAAGCTTTAGTGTCCTTGGATTTACTTATAAGAACAGAGGTAGATACAATTCTTTCAGCCCCCAAACCCATCCCTTCACAATTTTAGTGATAACATATTTGCTGCAGGCAGGGAAAGGGAAAGAACAGAACCCCTGTTGTGGAAGTATACTTGAAAATCCTGAGTCATTCTTATTTCAACTTCTTTTAAGATGGGTTATGGACACAGTTCTAGGAATTCAGAACTAACAAAGATTTCGTTAAGAAAATCCAGTGAGGGAAACCATCATCATTCTAATATCTGTAACATATTCTGTAGTGGTGATAACCAATTGTCTTAGATTGATCCAGTTGTTGTTTTTCCAGACTTCCTGGGGCTAAAAAAGATGGTTAAGCATTCAAAAGGTCTGTATGCAGGCATAGTAAATAGGTGTGAGGACCCAAACTGCTGTAACACAGCTCTTGCCACTCTATTGTAAAGCCAGCCAATAATCCCAGTACTGTAACAACAACAGTAACAAAAGATTTGAGTGCTTACTATGTATTAGGTTGAGTGCTAAGCAACAGTGTATACTATCTTATTTAATCCTCAACATATAATTGTATATACTATTATTATCGTCACTTTACATATGAGGGAAGTGAATCACAAAGTTTCAAAGATGGTACGAAAAGAACAACAGACACACATACAAACAATGTGTAGGTATACCTCAAATTTACACTTATGGTATGTGTATTTTTAATGCAATTTTTATAGATAAGTTCTTATGATTCTATTTTATTTTATTATTATTATTTTTTTTTGCAGTACGCAGGCCTCTCACTGCTGTGGCCTCTCCCGTTGCGGAGCACAGGCTCCGGACGCGCAGGCCCAGTGGCCATGGCTCACGGGCCCAGCCGCTCTGCGGCATGTGGGATCCTCCTGGACCGGGGCACGAACCCATGTCCCCTGCATTGGCAGGCAGACTCTCAACCACTGCGCCACCAGGGAAGCCCTATGATTCTATTTTAAATACTGAAGTCACAATAGAACCCCAAAATCAGTGTGACTTTCCACTGAAATATTTCTATTTATTCCCTTGGGAGAGGTCCAATATAAGGGATCAAGAGAGTTCAATGTACAATATTTGTGCTACAGTTATTTATATTATTTTTCTTCATTACGTTATGAAGTAGCTACTGCCATAACATATAGGTATAAAACTATAAACTGCCTAACCAATGTTTGTTTTATAGGCAACTGAACACATTATGTTATAGAAGTTTTACCAGAGGGATACTGCTCTAGTCTCATATTTCTAATTATCATCTTAAGGGGGCCTCTAAAGGTTCTGTAATTGTGTTGGGTTTAGTCCTTTACAGTTTTTGTTCCTGTACTCTTTGCAGAATATACAAGAATGGAATCTTAGACTCAGGATTAATCTCAAAGCTCTTCTACAGATGCTTCCTTTTTGTAAGAGCAGGGAAGGTTAGGTGGCTTACTCATGTTAACATACCACAGGAAAGAACAAAGACAGGAACCCCGGCTTCCCAACACCCAGCTGGATGCTCTCCCCATGAGACAACACTATCTCTAGATAGGTGTGCCATAGGTACCAAGTCAACTGGAAGTTGCCTCTTTTCTCTCTGCTCAAAATTCTAGGAAAGATGAAAGACACATTCACCATTGCATGTTTTACGGAGAAAATCTGGGTAGAGAAGCAATTCTTAAGTCTACTTGCAAAGATAACTGCTGAGAGGAGACCTATTATCTTAAACCTACCAACTTCTTCAAGACAGGAATTCAAAGGCAGGGGGCAGTGGGAACAAAGAGGTCTGATGAGGCCATTTACTCTGAGGTCATCTAAATTAAATTATGATGCCACAGCCATGCTGGTGGCCCTGGAAATTCACATCCTTACATCAACAAAAATGAAAAGAAGTTGAAGTTAACCGTCATCCTTATCAGCTATGGTAAGAAAAAAAAATCTGTATTTGATTTTGATTGCTATCTTATTGAACACAAGATTAATCTCACATGAGCCATTAACTCCCTGAGGACCCAAAGGAGAAGGGAGCAGTGGCACAGCCAGCACTAGAGTTTGGAGGGAGTACAGCTGTACAGGAAGCAGAAGTCACCATGACATACAAATGCCTGTGGGTACCAGGGAAGGCAGAGAGGCAGAAAGAGTTTAACTCCTTAGCTACTTGCTGTTTCCTTTCCCACATCCTTGCTTAGCGAGCAACTCAACTAAGGTGTAGAGTCAGAAAAAGAAAGGAATTATTCAACACTGAGCCATGGTGGTGAATGAGGGGGATCGCCCCTTTTCTCCTACACTTGATCTGGGAACAAACTAGAAGTCTGCTATATCTGTGGCAGATAAGAATAAAAAGACTCTGTAATTCAGCCACTAACTTCCAACAAGCCACATGGTAGCTATTCAATTTGATGTATGGGCTATTATTCTTCTTCCAAGATTAAAAAAAATAAGAATACTAAATTAACTGAAGACATTTAAAGGCATTTGTAAAGAAATTAGTAAAAAATCACATTTAAGGTTTTAAAACAGTGGTTCTCAACTTTTTTTCCTCAGGACCCCTTTATACCTTAAAAATTGAAGACCCTAAGTCCTTTTGTTTGTATGCTGTATCTACTGATATTTACCATATTTAAAATTTTTTTAATAGTTATTTACCAGTTCATTTAAAATAACAATAACCTCATATGTTAACATAAATTATTTTTATGGAAAATAACTATATTTCCCAAAAGAAAAAAATTAGTGAGAAGAGTGACATTGTTTTATCACTTTACAAATGTAAAATGTGTCTGACTTAATAAAAGACAACCAGATTCTCATACCTACTTTTGGATTCATCTGTTGCAATTTTTGGCTGAAGTATATGGAAAAAATCCAAACCCGCACATATAGATAATTAGAAAAGATAGGAGTTTTTTAATAGCCTTTTCAGATAATGATGAATATATAATCTGATACTACATCAAAACTGGACAAGTGGTAGTTTCATAAAGATTAGTTGCAGTGTGGAATCTAAAACCGTTATCAATGAACTTTTCATATTATGTTACGTTAAAATCCATTGGTCTAGCTTACACATCAAATGGACCTTTTACTTATGCATAATTTTATAACGTCTTGCACTGGTCATTGGGAAAATATTGTTCACTGAGTCACACAATCTTCCAAATGTTAACACATTTCATTTCATGATATTTTAAAAATCACATTCATTAATACTCATTGATCTCAACAGAAGTCTTTTAAGTTTGGGGAAGCTGTCGAGCTCTGAGTAGCAGATACAAATTTTCCGAAACTGTAATTTTCACTTGAAAACTCAATGGCAACAAATACTGTCAGTTGTTGTCCTTGAAGTGACAGGCTCACTTCATTCATTTGCGAGAAAATATCTGCCAAATAGGGAAAAATCAAGTCTGAATAATCATAGCTTGCCCTTTCAAATAAAAATGGTGCTTCGGGCTTCCCTGGTGGTGCAGTGGTTGAGAGTCTGCCTGCCGATGCAGAGGACACGGGTTCATGTCCTGGTCCGGGAAGATCCCACATGCCGCGGAGCGGCTAGACCCGTGAGCCATGGCCACTGAGCCTGCGTGTCCAGAGCCTGGGCCCCGCAACGGGAGAGGCCAGAACAGGGAGAGGCCCGCGTATCCAAAAAAAAAAAAAAAAAAAAAGCTGCAGCTAGTTCAGCTCTCAACTAAAACAAGTACACAAGTGCTTTCCCTTGAGATAGCCACTGTAGTTGGGGATGCAGAAGTGCTTTATGTGTGCTTTCCCATCTGTCACAAAATATCAAAACAATGTGAAACTCAAGGATTAGGATTTAATAAAATTAATATGTTTTACACCTTATCAAGGACATTCTTAAGTGATACTGGCCTTCTTTTATTTTTCTTATTTAAACAGTGAGAGAGGGCATACTAATGGTATAGTTTGGTGCCATTGCCTAGATTTGTGCTAAGGCTCCAGCAAATATTCACCATTGCAGCTTGGTACCATCGGTGCAAATGTCAACACAGTAAAATAAATAAATAAATAAATAAATAAATAAATAACATCTTAGTATTATTATGAAAATAATTTTGACACTATGGACCCCCTAAAAGTATCTCAGGGACCCCACAGGGATCCACGGACCATACTTTGAGAACTACTGCTCCAAAATATCTTTATTTTTGGCAAGGATAGGATCCATGAGAACTACTGCTCCAAAATATCTTTACTTTTGGCAAGGATAGGATCCACTAGCTCCCATATAATATAAATAGCAATAAATCTAAGCAAAACACAACTCAAAAAAAAAATACCCTCTTACCTTTGCCAAGACTAAAGACAAATGGTTCGTTTCGATCATGACTGGAATCAAACTTCTTTCCATTTGACAATTTTCCTTTGTAATGGACATAAACTTTGTCTCCAATCATCGGGGTTTCCTCACTATTCCCCACTCTTTTGACAATCTAGAAAAGACAAACGTCAAGAAAAATGAGGTTAAACATTTTATTTCTAATCAGAGAATAAAGAGGTCACACAGTCCCCTCCACATCACTCAGGCACATTTGCAAACAACTGTCTGTCCTTTCTAAAGGCTTCCCTCCCAGTTCTCTCAATGATCCTCAGTTACAAAATTATCCTGTCCTACTCTAAATCTTTAATGCTATATTTAATTGTATTGTTAATCACACTATTCTCTCAAAATAATTAATCAATAGATCTTATTTCATTGGTTTAATGCCCCATCTTATGACACTGAAATCTTTCAAAACACAGAGTTAGTCCATGTACAAACTGAATTAGACCAAAAAGATTAGTGGACTTTCAAAAACATTCAAAAAGAAGTCTGAAGCAAAGTTTCAAAGGTGAGATTTTTATTTCTCTCCTTTGCTAAAAACATTATCTTTTGACTAGATTCCACTAGTCTGGTTTAATTTCAAAAAGCCCAATTTCCTGATATAAAGGTTATACTTCCTACTATTTGAAGAATATTCAAAGTGTAAAAAAAACAGTACCACTGCACAGTTTGATATGATACTGAATAACTTGTGTTCTAGTAAAGGAAATGCCAAAAAGCTCCAAGTTGAAAAACATTTAACTATCATAAAATCCAGTATATTTATTTTGTTCTTGGCAGAGCAAGCCACTAATGCAGTTGGTCAGTTCTGGGAAAAGAAAATCAAATCCAGGCATGTGGTGTATAATTTATTCTGTCAATCACTTATGCCAAATTAATCATTTTTATTAGATAACAGAGGATGGTAGCTAATGTCCAATAAACATCATTTTTGGGGAAGGGTCTGAATTTTTATCTGAAGAATTCAATTATTTGCTCCTAAATTCTTTTTTGAGATGCATCCTCCTTGCCCCACCCTCATATCACCACATAAACACTGTGAACTTAGATTCTACAACTTTCTTAGCTCAAAAGCGTAGACATTCTAAAGGAAAAAAAATGATTACTGCAACTTCATCAGAAAAAGTGTTTGGGGGCTCCCCTGGTGGCACAGTGGTTGAGAGTCCGCCTGCTGATGCAGGGGACATGGGTTCGTGCCCCGGTCCGGGAAGATCCCACATGCCGCAGAGCAGCTAGGCCCGTGAGCCCTGGCCACTGAGCCTGCGCGTCCAGAGCCTGTGCTCCGCAACGGGAGAGGCCACAACAATGAGAGGCCCGCGTACCGCAAAAAAAAAAAAAAAATCTAAAAGAAATCACACGATATTCTAGAAGTGCTCGTGTTCATGAACTGCATGCAGTATTTAGGAGCCTGAGCCTCCCCTGGAGGGAATCTGCATTTCTAGGACTATAACCAAGTAACTGGGCATATGGGATGAATGGCTACCACGGAGTCAGAGCTGTTCACATCAGCAAGTGATACTCTGGTATCACTTCCGGTTTCCCCAACAAGACGAGTTTAGTGCCTAAATCTGGAGCTGTCTTAAGGATACAATCTAGTCTCAATTCAGTTTAAAAATGTAAGCTCCAAAAAGAAATTTCATCTTCCTGGGTTAGTTTCTCACTTCCCAGATCTGCCTTGGTCTTTTAAAAAATATATACAGTAACAGTTAATAAGAGAGATTATTACAATCATGGCACTGTGCTAAATGCTTTATGTAATCTCAATAATTCTATGAGGTACGCAGTATTATTACTCTAATTTTACAAATGAGGAAACTTCATCACAGATAGGTTACTAAATTGCTCTAGGTCATAGAGTTAAAAGACCTATTTAATCTTAACCAAAAGCCATGGTGAAACATGAGGCTTTAGACAGTGATAAACCACCATAAGATTTAAAGGGTTTATAATCTCTAAATGTTTCTTACAAGCCTAAAAATCTTATTAGATTTACTCCCTAGAACAAAGCAGGGCCTCAGGCAAGTTGGGGGCCATGTCGTCTGTACCAGTGCTCTGAAAAGATGAAAGAGAAGAACTTAAACAGAGGTAGGGAGATGCTGCAGATAGCCCACAGAATTTCCACTGTCTTGAGAGGCATTATGGAGTATGGGATGAGTAATTCACAGAGCTACAAGGTTGAAAAGCCCTCTGAATGAAGATATCATAATATACATCTTATGCTATAGATAGCATAAAGCCCTTATTCTACAGGTTCAAGTCTTCAAATTTTGGCTTGACATACAGCAAGCTAATAGTAAAACATGTATATTCGGAAGAAATTCGGCGCAGAAAAAAGCTTTCACATAAGCAAGATTAGCCAAAACAAACTAAAAAAATTCTCATTTGCTACTGATAACACAAGGAGATATTAAAACTCAGCTTAGTGGTAATATTTAGAATGTTTAAGATAATCTTTTCAGCAAAAAATTAATTATACAAAACTTGAACGCATAACAACAGTGTAGGAGAAAAAAGAACTTAGTATGACTAAAACCATTTAACCTCTCTTTATTATACAAATAACACACACATATCTTCCATACATAAATGGAAGAATCAAAAAGAACTCTGTCTCACAAAACCACTGTGAGATTAAAAAAAATGTAAAAATGATTAATTACAGAATGAAAAAAGTGTTTTTAAGGAGGAAAGCTAATTCAAAAGTGAGATATATTCTCTGATGAAACCTCAAAAAAATACCTTCACTGCACACAGGAATTCTATTTGTATGTAAAAAACCAATCCTTTTGAACTCTGCAAGTTAGCTTTTCTTTTTCTTTTAAAAAAGTCTTTTGAATTGTCATTAGCTAGCTTTAATATACTTAAATATTATATTAAAATAATCACCCATTTATACACTCTGAGAATAGAGAGACACAGCCTTTTGGAGTCAGACGTAACTTGGACCTAAACCCCAGATCTGCATTTACTAAGATATATGATTTGGGGCAAGTTAATTTACCTAGCTGGCCCTCAGTTTTACCATCTATAATCTGGGATTAAAAATAAACCTCCAGTTATGAAGACAAAATGGGAATTTAACTGCAGTGTCTGGTACTTAGTAAGCCTCAATAAACATTATCCATCTCCACCTCCAACCAAAAAAACAAAAAAAGATTTTTATGAACAATCTTTCCAGATAGCAAATTTCCCTAAATGTCATTCATCCTTGTGGCCTCACCTTTAATACTCCTCTATCTTTTTTGGAGGTAATATCCTCTCCCTGTTCAGCAACAGCTGCTGCGGGGCTTTCTCCATTGTTCTTGGCAGCTTCATCAGTAGTCATTGTCTTTTATAAGTAGACAACCTGCTGAGAAGAAACATATTTTAGCTAGGAAAAGTATCACTTCTTTATGCATCTTAAATGCCCCTAGGAACTGAGCTTTAGCTGACCCAAGATTTACTAAGGGCCAATAAGGTTAAACACTGAAAAGGAAAATAAAAACATTTGCTATGAGCATGTATTGATGTCATGAGGCATGTAAATGAAATATCATCCAACTCTTCAATTTCCCACCCAGCTCTGATCCCAAATTAGAGAGCAGAACAAGTCAGGTTTGATAGTGATTATATTCCTTAGCATGATTACACACTGAGAAGTAGTCCTTTCAGAACGTTGAAAACGTCCTTTTCCTACAGCCATATTCTTGACAGAGAATTAAGAACTTATCAGGTGATCTGATAAAAGAAATGACAATATATCACAGTGAAAAACAGGACAGGCTTTCAAAATGACAGACCCTAGTCTGAGTCCTAGCTCCAGCAATATCTGTTTGACATTTGCAAACTTAAAGTCACTGAGCCTCAGTTTCACATCTGTAAAATGGATGGAGTTTTTGTTCATAGGGTTACTGTGAGGCATTAATGAGATAACAAATGTTAAGAGATTAGCACAAAGTCATAACTTAAAAACGTAAACATTTATCATGATTATTACTGGGTCTTTTATAGAGCCACATTTTTCATTTCCTGCTCAAAAGTTCGTTTGGAATGAGGTTCTTCCCTACCATGGCATTCCAGGCCCTCCACAACATGATCCTTACCTATCTTTCAGGTCTAGCTTCCACTATTTTCTTTCATGCAGCTCATGCTCTAGCCAAACCAGACCAATTCTTCTCCCATAACAAGTCCCGTGCTTTCCCATCTCCATGCTCTTGGTCACTCTTTTTTAAAATCCCCACTCTTGGGCTTCCCTGGTGGCACAGTGGATAAGAATCCGCCTGCCAATGCAGGGGACATATGTTCAAGTCCTGGTCCGGGAAGATCCCACATGCCGCAGAGCAACTATGCCCGTGCGCCACAACTACTGAGCCTGTGCTCTAGAGCCTGCGAGCCACAACTACTGAAGCCCGCGCGCCTAGAGCCCGCGCGCCTAGAGCCCGTGCTCCGCAACAAGAGAAGCCACCGCAGTGAGAAGCTCGTGCACCTCAATGAAGAGTAGCCCCAGTCGGCGCAACCAGAGAAAGCCTGCATGCAGCAACGAAGACCCAACACAGCCAAAAATAAATAAAAATTAAAAAAATTAAAGAAAAATAAAATTCCCATTTTTCCCACTCAAATGCTACCTCCATCTTACCAAACTTGACCTTCTATTTTATAGTTGTCTGCCCTTTTCTGTACTTCCTTAGCTCTCCCCTTGATTTGTTGTCTATAATACATTCGGTAAGACAACACACTTGTTGTATTTAAAAGATCCTTGAGAGCAGGGCCATGCTTTGTCCATATTTAGATTCCTTAGAATGCCTCTACCTTTTAGACTGGAATGACAGGAAGGTCAAGGAATCTGGAGCTCCTTACAAGCTGTTTAATGTGCTTACTTTAACTTCTCTAAGCTTTTTTCCCTACCTGTGTAATTAGAATAAAAATAATATTTACTTTCACAGAGTGATCTTCTGGATTAAATGGTATAATGTATATGTTAAAAGTATACTATTCCAATGTTAACTCTTTTTATTATCATCAGTCACCTAAATGACAGACACCATGCAAGGCAAATACCAACAGGCTAATCAACAAGACAAAACAAAACACACCTTGCTGTGCTGCCATGATGAATTCCATACTGCTCTCCTGGTTGAGCAGGAGAAGACAAGAATTAATCACTTCTACAGCTATTCAGTATTAGGCTAATAATGGACATAAGGCTCCCTAAGTCACCTGTGGGACCCTCTTGCCTACACAGTTAAAAAGTGCTATTTTACACTTGTGAAAAATGTCTTACTGATACAACTGATAATTAGACAACTAAATATAGTTGATATAGTGTTTTAAATCATTTCCAACTGACCTAAATTTACTTCAGTGTCAACAAAGACACAAATCAAATTTTGCTGTGACCCCAAATCTTCAAAGAGAACACCAAAAACCAGGGGCTTAGCCCTTTGCTTTATTTTCTAGTACACTTTATGCCAAACACAAAAGATCCAAATGCTTGGCTCAGGATAAGGGAAAGGCCAGAACAAAGCGTTCTCAAACAAATAACAACAAAAATTAAGTACCTACTTGTTGTGTGATGCTGGGCAAGATAATTAGGGAAATTAGATGAACAGGGTTTGTTCCCAAATTCTAGTAACCTACCACTTATAAAACACTCTCTGATGCATAGAAATTTGCAGGAGCCACCTCAAAAACAGAGGGAAAAGATCTTTTAAACACTCTGGAGGTGTTGGACCGTATCCCTGGAAAAATACATACACACAGAAAAAATTTCCTGGTGCTTTACAGGTACATAGACATCCATCAGTAAACCCCTGGGGAAACCCTGGAGTAAATCAATAAACAAATTAAAACCACCAAATGAAAGGTTATTAGGGAACAGGACAGCTACACAGTCTCAAAACATGAACCTACAGATTACTTATTATTAAAAAAGGAAAAAGGGCTTTCCAGGGGAGTGATCTGACAAACCTCCCCCTTCACACAAGTGATCTGCATTATGACCAAACTCTGCATCTTCTATATTAACACAAACCAGTATCAGTGTGCCTCCTGATGTGATGTAATGGGAAGCATACATGTGGTATTCCTACCAAAAACATTTAACCTGAAACTAATCAAGAAGAAAAGACAAAATTAGGTTGTGGAACATTCTACAACTGGCCTAGACTCCTCAAAATGTTAATGTTATGAAAGACAAAAAAAAGTTAAAAAAAAAGAAAAGGGGCCTGTTCTGGTTTAAAAAAGACTAGAGACACAGCCACCAAATGCAGTGTGTGATCCTTGGCTGGATCCTGGATTAGGGGGAATAAAAATTTATAAAAGCACATTTTTGTGAGAATTAGGAAAATTTGGAAAAACAGAACATATATTACCTTATTATTACTGTATAATGTTAGCCTTCTGGAGTGTGATATAGCATTGTGGTTTTATACAGAATAATATCCTCATTCTTAGGAGACACATGCTGAAGTATTTAGGGGTGAGGTGCCATGATGTCTGCCACTTACTTTCAAATCATTTGAGAGAGAGCATGTGTGAGCACAAATATCACCAAAAGCTAAAAACAGAGCATTCAGAAAGCATGACTACAACACATCCAAAGGCAATGCCTTTCTTTTGAATGTTTGTCATTTGTAGATCAGCTAAACTTTTAAATGAAAATACTGTCAATCAAAAAGCATTTTCTTTTGTTCTAACCTTCCCCTTTGGAAACAATGGCTTGCTAAAATTTAAATAAATAGGGAACTTGTATAGGTTGATTTGCAAGCTTTATAAATCTCATTTGATAAAGGAATTTGCTCTTCATTTTCGGTTCTAACACTTGAAGGGATACAAATAATCTTTGTAATCTCAACGATTCTGACTAGTATGGAGTCCATGTGAAAAGAGGTAGCACAAATTAAATTAATTAAAACACAAAGATAAAAACAACACTAAAACTTTGTTGAACTTTCAAAGGCAGATAAATCTGGAAGAATAAAGAGATAAACTGAACATTCCAAGTACTTCCCCTTAATTCCAGTTATACCATTTGGGGTATAGATTTTTGTAAGCAAACAAAACAAATAAAGAAAAACTTCTTCCTTGATCTAATGTTACATGAAAAAAAGGCTGTAAGAACAGATAATTTCTAAAAACCTGTTAAGACACACTAAGAAAATTTCACTTTTTTCATAAGAGAGCCTTTTCTTCGTTCCCCTACCCTAGGTTTATTCTGGATTTAAAATCACTCTGTAGCTATGGATATTAATCTATGATAAAGCTCACTGTCCTGAACTGTCCAAAGGGGGAAACTGCTGCCCAGAGCCTCAGAGAGGGAACACACAGTTCGTTCTGTTATGGACATGCCAGATAAGCATGCACTCTCCAAAGTGCTGGTCAGCAAACACCTGAGACGTCACAGAAAAATGAGACTAAGCTTAAAATTTCATCAACAGTGTACTGAAAACTTCAGTTAACATAACTAAATTGTCATATTCCCCCAAATGAGAAATCATTTTAAAGGTTTATCCACTAATTAACCATGTATATTACCTACTGTTGTAGTTGTTCTCTTTGTTAAAATATAGATATCTTGTATCACAGATTATCCTACTGTCTAACAGAAGAGTTTTCAGAAAGAAGACAAGAAAGAATATAGGAACTGGCTACTTTGTTAGAAACACAGAAAATTACAAAATTACAGCAGCACTCTTTCTAAGTACCATAGATGTCTGGGCCATAAAGGCTTTCAGTCTCCTAAAACTAAAACACAAAAGAAAGAGAAAACACAAGGAAAGGCTTGTAACTGAATGCAGTATAAGTGCATCCTAATTTTGAAAATATTCATGTAAGGACTAACTGGAAAGCCCTCATTTACTTTCAACCCCAGGCCTCTATCAAACATTCAAGTCCAGTAACACAGGAGTGTCAGGAGTAGTTATCTATTTGTAGGCAAGACACACACAAAAGAGAGATATACATGCATGCAGAGGAAACGAGATCAAATATAAAGACAGACTATATGTCTATATGAAACTGCACACTGTATTTATTCACCTACTTTCCCCCAGTTAATCTGCTTCCTCCATACCGGGGTGCGGAATGGGGAGACGATGAACAACGCTCTTATATATGCTCATACATTTACGTTTTCTCCTTTAAAAAAGAAACCTGCAAGAAGATATACAAAGAGCCAATAAGCATGTGAAAAGATGTTAAACATCCTTATTCATAAGGGAAATGCAAGTCAAAATCACAATGAGATACCACTTCACACTCATGAGGATGGCTATTATCAAAAAAGGAAAAATGACAAGTGTTGGTGAAGATGTAGAGAAATCAGAACCCTCATGCACTGCTGGCAGTAATGTGAAATGGTGCAGCCTCTGTGAAAAGGTTTGGTGGTTCCTCAAAATATTAAACAGAATCACCATATGATCCAGCTATTCCACTCCTAGGTATGTACCCCAAAGAAGCAAAAACAGAGACTCAAACAGATACAGTAGTAGTAGTCACAAAAGCCAAAAGGTGGAAAAACTCCAAGTGTCCATAAACAAAATATGGTATGTGTGCAATATGTATTATGTTATTATTAAAATGAATATTATTCCATAAAAAGGAATGAAATTCTGATACATGCTTAACATGGATGAACTGGAAAACATTATGTTAAGTGAAATAAGCAAGACACAAAAGGACAAATATTGTATGATTCTACTTATATGAGGTACTTAGAATAGGCAAATTTATAGAGACAGGGACTTCCCTGGTGGCACAGTGGATAAGACTCCACACTCCCAATGCAGGGGGCCCGGGTTCGATCCCTGGTCAGGGAACTAGATCTCACATGCATGCCACCACTAAGAGTTTGCATGCCACAACTAAGGAGCCCGCCTGCCGCAACTAACACCCTGCACAACCAGTCAACCAACCAAATAAATAAATAAATATTAAAAAAAAAAATTATAGACACAGAAAGTAGAATAGAGATTACCAGGGGCTGAGGGGAGCAGAGAATAGAGTGGTTGTTTAATGGATATAGAGTGTCTTTTGGGGAAGATGAAAAAGTTCTGGAGAAGAGTGGTGATAACTGCACAACAATGTGAATGTACTTAATGCCACTGCACTGTACATTTAACCATGGTTCTCTCTTTAGCTCTCCTACCTTCCCCTTAATTGAGGATACCTTCTGTATTTCCAATGCAATCCCAAAGTGCTGAGTCGAGCTTCCAGAAGTGATTATTGTATCAGTTCTTCAGGGACCAAAGACTCTGGGATGTCCAATCATGAAGACTGGAGAGGAAAGAGGATCCTAAATGGAGCTACCCCTTGATTGCTACAAATTATTTCCTCCTTTATTGTCTCCCTCAGATACATACAATGCTTTGGTAAACTCACTTTCCTTCTCAGTAATTAGTGAAGAAAAGCAAAGTTCATGGACCAAATTTACCGTTACTCCTGTCACTAACCCTGTTTACTTGGATGAATTACTGTTCTTAAATAAGTAGGAGGCAAAGAGTTATATTAGCATTAAAACAAAACAAAAAAAGGTCTAGAAAATATTAGACCATCCAAATGCCAAGGGCTGAAAGACTAAGGGATCAACTTCCCCCACGATGGCAATGGAGTGACAGAAAAATCTGCAAAGCTCTGAGCTTGAAAACAAGAAAAGGTGTATCACTGAACTAGAACACAGATGAGATCAGCCAGAAGGAGAGAACAAAGAAGAGCAAACTGCCTTCTGAACACCGACTGTAAGAACAGCTCTTCCAAAGGGAACCTGGTCAGCATCACAAAGAGCAGAGAAATTAAGTAGAGCCCCACCTGGGGGACAGAGCAGACGCTGTGTTCAGATCAGTTAGGCCAGGTAGGTTTCCCTCCCTCCCGAATGCACAAGGTGGCTCCCATTTTTTTCTATGAACATGTAAGAATTTTCTTTACTCCTGGGGTTCGGATGTATCACCAGAATATACGTGTTATTAATCTTCTTTCCTTCATTCCTGCAGGGGCCTTAACATCCTGGTCCTTAAATGCTGAAGACAAGTCTTTGAGGATCTCAGGAAAGTTCCTACTAATATTTCTTTTCCTTCACTGTCTGTCCTCTGCTTCTAGAAGTCTTATTAGACAGACTTTGGGCATCTTGGTTCTATCCTTCAGGTCTCCTAAACATGTTTCTGGGATAAATATTAGAATTACCTGAGGGAGACGCAAGAGGGAGGGGATATGGGGATATACGTATGCATATAGCTGATTCACTTTGTTATACAGCAGAAACACAACATTGTAAAGCAATTATACTCTAATAAAGATGTTTAAAAAACAAAACAATAAAGTACAGCAAAGAACCAAGAAAAAAAAAAAAAATTACCTGAGAAGCTTTAAAAAGCCACTGATGCCTGGACCCACTCCCAGAGAGTCTGGATTTAACTGGTCTGTGGTCAGGACATCAGTGTTTTTAAAAAGCATCTCAGATGATTCTAATATACACACAGGGTCCAGAAACCACCTCAATTCCATCTTTGCCTTTTTGCTCTATATTCTAAGAGATCTTCTTTGATGGAATTTCTAGATCACCATTTGGTTGTCAGCTATGCCCACTATGTCATTTAATTTGTTCAAAGGATTTTTAAAATTATTTATTTCTATATACTCTCTTATTATCTGATTGCTCATTTTTTCTTAGCATGTCTTTACTTTATGGATGCAATTACCTTTCAAATATTTCTGAAGATTCTACTTACAATAAAATGGGACATCTCCTATGAATAAGTGTTTGGCTAAAAAGTTTTTAAGGAAAATAAAATGCTGATTTTACGTATCCCCTAGCATCTCCCAAAGGCACTGGCCAGTGGTAAAGGTTGAGAAGTTAAGAAATGGAAAGGAGAGAAAGGTAGCATACTGTGAATGTAAAGTATAAGGGGAATGTATAAGATGCAAAATGTGAGAATTTTGAGATTTTACTAGGCTTACAAAGGGAAACAGTAAAATGCTTTGGTGGAAAGGGGAGTGGAGAGCAAAGGTTTAAGAACAAGAAAGAACTTGACAAGCTTAAATACACAGGGAAAGAGTCACAGGGAAACAAAAAAAGTAATGATTCAAGAGTAGGAAGAACAAAGGCATAGATTTGTTCATCAATTAAACATTTATAGATTGCTTTTTTTTTGAATTTTATTTTACTTTTTTATACAGCAGGTTCTTATTAGTTATCCGTTTTATACATATTAGTGTATACATGTCAATCCCAATCTCCCAATTCACCCCACCACCACCGCCCCCCCGCCACTTAAGTTACAGCTAAATTAATGTGGCTAAATAAAAGTATTCTAAAGCTTTTCCTCAAGAGGAATGTTTAAATAAAAATTATCAAATTCATACTATAAAAATATAATGCTGTCTTTGAAAAGGATGAGGTAAATCTAAAGAGAATCACTGAGCTAAGAGTCTAAACACCAAAAACATCAAAACAACTAAACTGAGAAAGGATTTTGTAGATGTCCATCCACTAAAAAAGAATACCATTGTAATAAATGAAATGTATTGTTACAATGCATAGTGCCCAGTGATGATTTGGTTCTCCCGGCTGTAAACAAAACCAACATCACTTGAGGATGTTACAAAGGGATAATACATGTGGTACAGACAATGTGGTATATCATAATTGCTTGCAGGAACCAACCACGTTTCCCAGTTATTTATAGATTTTGGTGTGTAGAATCATTTTTTAGAGCACTGGCTTACAATTATGCAAATATTACATATTACATGCCAAAATGTCTTTTTCATCACTGTTCTTCCTTAGAGTTAAGACAACTAAACTTTGGAAATATTAATACGGAACAGGCGAGATCTTATCTATTCCAGATAAGCAAGCTTCTAATAATGACATGAAAGTTGGAACAACATCCAACATGGACTATTAAGCGAATGGCAAGCTGCAGAACAATTTGTAGTATGATCCTATTTTTAGGAAGAAAATGGTGTATATTTACTTATATATACAAGAAAAATATATTTAACCACAGTTAAAACAATGTTACCTCTGGAGAATGAGATTTAGGAGTTTCAGAAGGAATTTTCACTTATAAAATTTTTTATCATTTAAATAGTTTAACACTAAGTATATATTACTTCCATGATTTTTTAAAAAAACTTAGGACAAAAAGACGAAAACACTTCACAGCTGCACTCATCAGGACTTATTCTTTCTGTTCAATTTAACTCAAACATTTTGGAGTGCCTCCTATGCAGAGGAAGCAAAATCTGGTTGAGCAGAGTTCATGCTTGTGAGACATCCAGAAGGCAGTCAGAGACAAGGCCTGCGCTCAGGAGAGAACTCTGGGGGACAGTACACATTGGGGCGTGACCAGATTCTACATGGAATTAAGATAAAAGTACACTTCCAGGGCTTCACTGGTGGCGCAGTGGTTGAGAGTCCGCTTGCCGATGCAGGGGACACGGGTTCGTGCCCCGGTCTGGGAAGATCCCACATGCCACAGAGCAGCTGGGCCCGTGGGCCATGGCCGCTGAGCCTGCGTGTCCGGAGACTGCGCGTCCGGAGCCTGTGCTCCTGCGGAGGAGAGGCCACAACAGTGAGAGGCCCGCGTACCGCAAAAAAACAAAAAAACAACAACAAAGAAACAAACAACAAAAAAAGTACACTTCCAGTTACTGCTAAGAAAGTACAACAGTGGTTCTCAAACTTTTAACGTCCCAGCCCCACTTCTGATTACTAGGTCTTGTGGCAGTACAGATGAAATAATTTCCATCTCCCTGGAACTTACATTCTGGGAAGGGTAAACACAGTAGGAGTGAGCCTCCATTCATGTTTTAATAGAAAAATTAAATTTCTACCTGTGCTACAGTGGTAGATTATTAACTTGAGTTGATTCATTAGGGTCAAACAGTTTGATTCCAAGTCGGCTGGTGATTTCTAAGAACAGGCCAGCAAGGTAACATATGGCAAAGGTCTGTAAACATGGTATAGGCAGAGAATGTGTCCTATTCTTTTTTTTTTTTTTTAAAGAAGATGTTGCGGGTAGGAGTTTACTAATTAATTTATTTATTTTTGCCGTGTTGGATCTTCATTTCTGTGCGAGGGCTTTCTCTAGTTGTGGCAAGCAGGGGCCACTCTTCATCACGGTGCGCAGGCCTCTCACTGTCGTGGCCTCTCT